TAGGCTTTCAGCTATTTGGTAACTCCATTTAGTGTTAAGCTCACCTAAAATGTTAATCTTTTCGCCAGATTTTGCTGTTTTATCCGTTTTTTTTTAATAAAGGGCGGCTTGTTTTTAATTTTTCGCCAAATACGCCAGTTAATGGTTGAAAAAGATCGGAACCCGAGTCAAGCTGAATTTAATGGACTTATTGAAAATAAAAAAGTTACATATTTTCTTAAATTCCTATCGACAATATTGTCAGATTGAGCTTGCCTAATTTTATTTTGGGGTTTCTCCTTCTGTTGGCATACCAGCTTTGAAGTTCAAGTATGCCCACTTTTATTTGCAATTTTTGCAATATTTTTTGTTCTTAACTGGACAGAATTTCATCCAATGCCATTTACCACAATGGTAACATGGTCCGGGCGGTTTCTTTAACCTATTTGGGATTTGGTTACTGCGTAATTTAGGACATGAGATTTGCCTTTTGTCTTTTTGAGGGGAATAGGAGGTAGATTTACTTCTGATTTTATTTATCTGAGCTAAACCTGATTCCTCGATAGTGTTTGAGTCACGCTTTACAGATATTACTCTTTGACAGTCCTCTGCCAGTTTTTGGAGAGTCAATCCTTGTTCGTTGTCAAGCTTGGTCAGTACCCGTCGTCTGACTTCGGCATCTTCTGCTGATACTAGACCATGTGCGAAAATCAAGCACTTGAAATCATCGGCAGTCAGTTCGGCTAGTTTAAAATCATTACAGAGCTTGTTTACCGATGCTGCAAACGTTAGAAAATCTTGCTGGTTGTCTTTGACTGTGTTCAGACATTTCCAACGTTTGTGGAACAAGGTTGTGTTAGGCCCGAATAGTTCCGATAGGAGCTTAATAGTCTCTGAAAAATCCAAGTCAGTCGTTTTCTTGGGTAGTATGAAGTCTACGAACCTACTATGTTCTGTAGTTCCCAATTTTCTCAATAGAAGACGTACCTTCTTTTTACTGGGCCATTGTTCACAGTCTACGTTGAAAATATCCTCGTAGCGCCTGTAAAAAGCCTGGAACGTTTTGTCTTCCTCTGGTACGTATTCAAAGGTTTCCATTGAATTGTAGATTATACTCTGGGAGAATATTGTATCTTTTTCAGAGTCTGAGCATTTTAATGCATTTACGAGTAATTCTGTAAGTTGTTTCTGTTGTAGTTCAGCATTCTGAAGCGTAATTTTTTGGAGTTCCCTTTGTTGTTTATGTAATTCCAAAAATAGTTGTTGTTGTCTTTCTTCTGATTTTTGTTGCTGATCCAAATTTAGTTTTAACATTTGGGCAACTACTTTTTGCAAATCTTCCATATTTAAAAATGACAGCGCTTTTTTGTTTCTTTAAAACACGTGTACTAAGAGGAGGTACACAAAAAAATTTTGATAGATTTTTGTTCTTTTTTTTTCTTTTACAGAAAAAGAAATATGGACAGACAATTAGTTAAACTAAACTAATTATGTGTTTAGCTTTTTTTTTTCCCGTGGTTCCGTTAATTTTAACGTAATTGAATAATTTTTCACCACACTTATGTATTTTTTTTTAGAAAAGGGTAAAAAGAAAACTCACCTCAGTGAATTTGAGGGGAGAATAATTTTATGCTTGAGTTCAACTCAGTTACATAAAAAATTTTCGATAGTTTTTTCCGAAAACTTGAGTACAATTGTAGTACTTGCTCTTGTATTGTCAGTTTGTTTTACGAACAACTGTTTTTTTTCTGTGTGTGTGTGTGTGTGTGTGTGTGTGTGTGTGTGTGTGTGTGTGTGTGTAAGAATTCGTTCTCGTAATGTTATTTGGACAGACTTTAATATTCCGTAGATGTCGAAACGCTAGTTTGTCAGTGGCGTTTGGTATTGGAATATATGTAGACGCTTGGTGTTTAGCTTTTAAATCGCTAATGTAGTAATACCAGCTTAATTTCTCGTTCAACACTACTGTGGAAACGCGTGGAGTTTCTGTGTATTTTTCGAGTACTGTCGCTATTGATATGGTGAGAACGAAATTCTCGAATCTTTTCTGTCGCCACTGTTGTGGGACTGGAAAAGTTTTGCGCTTTTTCGACGTGGATGCGTTTCTAGAATTCTTCGTCGATCCAGATGTGGGATTAGTAAGGTATTTAGGTTTCGCCGTGAGTGCGTTTCTAGAATCCTCGTTGCCACTGATGTGGGGCCAAAGCTGAGACCACAGAAGTAAAACACGGAACACGGATTAGATTTAAGAAAGATATATTAACAACAGGTTACAGAGATAGTGTAAGCGGAGCTTACTATAAGTTAGTGTCCAACACTGATAGTTGTACTAGACTCTCTCTGTCACTCTGTATGTCACTGTCTAGAGTGCTATGTCGCCTACTTAATATAGGCCTGGAAGAGTCTATTGTGTAGGTAGTTTCCGGTCTCACAATAGAAACTTTGGTTTCAATAAATTACGTTGTGATGGATTCAATCTAGAAGATCGCGTACGTTCTTCTGCCGATGACGAATTGAAGGC